TTCAACTTTTTAAAAATTAAAATATACCTCACATCATTGTGGGGTAGGCTGAGGGTAGAGAGGTGGGAATAAAATATGCAACAATGAATTAAAAAAAAAAAAAAAGAAAAAATTCCAGCAAAGAAAAGACATTGTATATATAAGGATAATTTCCACTGCAAAGATATCTTAGTAAGGACAAAATGGAGTATTACTGGCAAAAAAGATTTAACATATGTTATGTAGAAAATTCTAAAATCTTTGATGCGTTTGAAAAAAAAAATACACCTCACATAAGACTGGCCGTTTTAGCATGTACATCATAGTGGGTTTTAATTTATAGTTACTACGTTGTCTAAGCATCAACACCATCAACTCCAGAACATTTCCATGCGCCCAAAATAAACCCTGTACCTAGTACCATCTCACCAACTGGACCCAAACTCTCCACAGATCTGTTGCCCAGGCGGGAGTTTCGAGATGGCTGGCGTGGTGACTCTATCTGTATGGTAAAAAACCAAGAAAGCTGCACTGTCCAGGAGGAGACTGTTAAAATTCTTAGCATTTTTAGAAACTGTGCTAATAAGACTTTCTGTGTTATATATTGATGAAGAATGGCAGAGTAACTTACTTTCAACCTCTATCTTCACATAACACAGATTCATCCAAGATGTCAGGAAAGACAATATACTATTATTAGTCATTAACTGTCCATACTTGTAATTTCAAAATATAGAGGATGCATGTCGCTAACAGGAAAACCTCCTTTAGTAGCAAACATAATTGCATTAATAACAAAATGACAAATAAACTTTAAGCAATGCCAGCTTGGAGACAAAACCACTAGACCCATCCTCTACAAAAACTACTACCGCTAACAGGGAGCTATGGTGGCCTAGTGGCAAGAAGCTACACTGCAATCCCAGAGGTGAGTAGTTCAAATCTCTGCTGGAGGAGGAGGGACAATCTCCCCCTGTACCAGTCAGAACCAATTTGACGGTACACACACAAAAAGTAATAAAAAAATAAAAAACAACAACAACAACAAAAAACTACTACAGCTTCCAACACCACTTTGTTCCCATCACTCTTCTAAATGAGGAAAAAACCACCTTCAGGCAAAGGTCTGGCAGCACAAGCTGCAGGAATGTGTGGCTCAGGCTGTGGGAGGGCACTAATGACCTAAGTGTGCTCATGGCTTCTAAGACCCACCGACCTTCAGGAACTGGAATGCTGAGAGCAGAGGCCCATGCGCCTGTCTTGCTTTTCTGAGGTGCTATTCCCAGAGAAGCAGCTCCTCTACAGAGTGTGCCCAAGATGGATTCCTCTAACTTGCTCTGAGTTGTCTAGCTGCCCTCACCAGAAAGTCTTTGTGGGCTGATAGAAACCACCAGTGAGAGCAGAGGCATATGGGTTGTGGGGAAGCCTTCTTCAGTATTCTATCACAGCTGGATTAAAGCAGAAAAACTTAACCATTAAGCAAATCTCATCTTTAATCTACAGTATAGTAATTATCAACTAGATGCTATGGGTCAGTTCCAACTAAACGGTACACAAGAGGCTAAACTTTCAAATCTACCTTAACAGGGGCATTTAATATTTATTTAAAGGACATTTTGTAGGCTTGACTAAAAGCCATAATGAGCCCTTAATTTTCATCCTGGAAGAAAATTAGTTTTACTTGATAAACCAGTAAGACCCAGAAATGGTTTACTGCTAATTTAACTCATTCTCCCCGAGGTCGTTCGTAATGCTTCCAGTGACTTCTTTTTTGCAACAAGTCACTCTCTAGTATTTAGTTTTATTGCAATCATTATTTAAATACATGCTCATTTCCTAAATTTTCCAAAACAAAATCAGATGCAATCAAGCTAAGTTCATGACATTTATGTAATTGATAAGCAAATTTGCTTCGAAAGTTATCTATGAAGTATTGGTATGTCACCCTTAGCATAGCACTATATTAAATTAAAATGCTTGGGTAAATTATTTATAACACAAATCTACCAAAGACAATAACTGATTCCCTACCTGCAGGAAGTTACGTAGTAACCCCAGAGCGGAAACAAACCCTCGATTAACTAGTATTTTCTTTTAAGACGAGGGCATTAAGAACTCTGAGCACCAACTGCAGTTGAAGGAAGATAAAAAACTCTGCCATGTCTATGGGTAGAGTTCCTCTGACAGGGTCGAAATAATGAGATCATAACCCTGGATATTTCTGATGGCAGGGTTTTGGCAGCTTATCAGTACACTTCTAATAGCATAATCTTGATGCAGTAGAGAGTGAACCATTAGCTAAACCTATAGATACGTTTCTGTATATCTATATTCTGTAACTGCCCCAAAATTTCTCATCCTTAAATGATTTTATAAAAATACCCTTCTAGATGGACCAGTTCTGGACAGAGCTAGATTCAACTTGATCTGTTAACTAAAAGGACAAGAGGTGAATATAGTTTTCACGTTGAAAAAAATGTTAATGCAGAGGGGCTGTGGTGGCCTAGTGGCAAGAAGCTGCACTGCAATCCCAGAGGTGCACAGTTCGAATCCACCAGATGCTCCGCTGGAGAAGGAGGGACAGTCTTCTCCTATACCAGTCAGGTCTGATTTGACGGTACACACACAAAAAGAAATTTTTTTTTTTAAAAAAAGTGTTAACGTATGCATTTAATTTTACTAAGTGTTAATCAATCACTGTTGCTGATGTGTAACTTGGAGCCAGAACCAAGCCATAACTAGCTGACCCTCCAGCAGGTTTTCAGAGGCAGTTAATCCAACCAGAGGAGACTGCCCATCCTTTTCCCTCACAGCAGCTGGTGGATTCAAACTGCATGTCTTCGGGATTGCAGCGCAGCTTCTTACCGATAGGCCACCAAAGTTCACCAATCTAGAGAGAATTCTGATAAAAACAAGTGTTTTCTGAGGGTTGCATTCCTCAGGCCTAACACAAGTGCCTGCCATAATAACAATCTGTTTCCAGAAAATCATGTTTCTCGTAAAGTAAGATTATTTAATAGTTGATGGGGGGGAAGCCAATAAAGGTATTATCTTTCAGACTGTTTTAGTATATGAAAAAAAAAAGGATCAGACTCTAGGATTTTAGTGTGGCCAAAGAATAAAGGGCAGAAAAGTAACTATTTAGGAAGGCAACTTTTGCTTCTGATGGAAGGAATGTCTGCCTTTATGATGAGAAGTTTGAAATTTTTTCTCTCAATTACTGAATATGAAAATATGAAATATCAGCTCTAAAAATAGGCAAAATTAACTTAATGAATAAGGAAAGGCTAAGTCAAACTTTTATAACAGCCAGAAATACAAAATTTTTTAAAATTAGTTTAAAGATCATAAATAGGCTGTATTTGGAATACATTCTGGAAATTCACGTTGAATGAATGGAAAAAATGCTAAGCAGCTCAAACTTTTCTTGAAATTGAAATAAAAATCCAAGTTTTCCTGCTCTCCAAGCTCCACCAATGAGTTTGCACACACATCCGCATCGCTGTGTCCTCAAGTCCTGCTTCTCAGAGCTGGGATGACAAGGGTAGAGAAGTCCCCAGATCACCCAGTTCACCTTCGGAATGCCTTCAAACCGACTAGGGAAGACAACGATTTTCAAGGTGTTGCTTTTTGGAGTTAAAGATACTGAAAAGAAACATACAAATTGCAAACAGAAAGCAAAGCGGCTGAAAGCAAAGCGGCTCAATCACCTCTCAAGCTTGGGCATTGCATCCCCGCTGGTTTACTGGAGCCTTTGGGAATGGACTGCTTCTAAACCACTGAACCTCAGAAGGCTGACTCTGATATCGCCATTTCCATGGCTGTGGATTTGTTGCACCTGTCAGTTCCAAAATGATCCGAAAAGCCCAACACGGAGTCCACAGCGTGGTCAGGGACAGCCCATCATCACTCCTACCAGGGACCAGGGGTGCTGAACCCTACACTCTCATAACGCACTGTTCCGACTTCTGGAAAACCCTGCAACCTTTCCAGATCAGGAACACACTCTGTGGCACATCCTTCAACTCGAAGGCATTCTCGGAGGAGCACACCATCTCGAAATCTGGGAAGGAAGGCGTCTTCCTCCAAAGGCCCCCAAAGGCAATGGCCACATTCACCAAAAAAATAAAATGAGAGTTCCAACGGGAGCCAGACACGAGCCTCAGTCATTTCGGCAAGGAACCCCCAAAGAAGTCAATGCGGTTCCCACAGTCCACGTCCCCGTGAAGGGTTTTCCCAGGAATCGACGCCTCTCTTGGATGAGCCTGTCCGTGGTTCTGTCTACACCCGCAGAGGCTGCAGCATCCGCGTCTCCTAAGGGTCCCCCCCCCCCCCCGCCTGCAGGTTCCCAACTCCAGGGAGATCATGGGATCTGCACATCGCCCCGCTTTCCCCTCGTCCTTTCTCCCACACGGAGCCCTTAGGGAGTTGCAGTGTTATGAGATGAAATGTCAACGAGCAGGCGTTAAAAGGGGCGCAGACTTCGATTGCGGCACAGTCCCCCCACCAGGCAGGCTTTCCTGGCTCTGCCTGGACACCCCCCGACTCGGGTGTGCTCATCGCGGCGTGTTTATGTTTAAGGGGAGTCACGCCAGGGTGGCCTCTGCAGACAACATCCGGGCCTTCTACACAAAAGGCCTCCCGTGCACGCTGCTCGCCGGCCGCCCGTCCCGGCCGTGCGCGCACTCGGCCTCGCCCCGACCGCGCCCGGGCCTGTGCTTTACGGTCCGAGCGACGGTCAGGCCTCGAAGGCCGGAGCCGAGGGCTGTGCGCCCCATCGCCCCGCGCCCGCCTGCCCCACTCGGCGGCTCCCGGCCGCTTTCCCGCCCCACGGCCCGATCACAGGCTGGTGGCAGTTGGAAGCGGTTGGGACCGGCCCCAGCAGGTTGGAACCGGTCTGGGCCGGGCCGGAGGAGGAAGGGGGGAGGGAGAGGCCGCCTCGCGCTCTCCCTGCGCGCGTGACTCACGCTGGCCGCTGACGTCAGGCGTGCGCGCGCGGCGGGGGGGGGCGCTCTACGTACGTGTAGTGCTGCGGTTTCTCGGGCTGTGCCTGCAGCACCTGAGCGGTAGCGGCCGGGGGCGCCGAGGAAGCTGCGGAGCCGCCGGGCCCGGGGCCCTTCGACATGGTCCTGTCTTCCTGCCTCTTCGCCGCTCCCCTTTTATTATTCAGTCTGCGCGGTCCGCGCCGAGGACCCAGTGCGCCTGCGCCGCGCCACGAGAACGTGAAGACCCCCCGCACCGCAGCAAGGGCTGCTGGGAGTTGTGGTCCCATGTTCGGCTGGAATTTTACCGTCGGCAGAGGGTGGCTGCCAAGGGAAGAGACCACAGTGCCCAGGAACCCTTGCGCGCGATACCCGGATGCTGAAGGCCCGCGAGAGTTGTTGGGGTTTGCAGTCCGGTTGCGTCTTCCTGCCCTCGCGTTTAGGCTTCGTGGGGAAACCTTAAGGAGCCTTCGTAGCGCTGTGGTTAAGTGCGGGGCTGCCAACCAGAACAGTGACAGTTCAAGGCCACTTGGGAAGAAAGTCGTGACACTCGATTTCTGTAACGATAATAGTTTTGGAAACCCTATGGGATAGTTTCTGTTTCCAGTCACCTCCACCGAGCAACAATGCATTTGTTTGGGGGGGTTTGTTGTTTAGAAGATCTTTTCCTTGAAAATGAAGCTCTTATCAGTAGACGAGGACTTAGAGCTTCAGAGATCCAAAAGATTTCCAGTTCAAGTGTCATCTCACTGCCAACAGAGTCATAATTTCCTCTTGTTACTGAGCCTCTCCTTGGAATAGCTTGCTAGTTCTCACAGGGTAGTACTCCCAGCAATAAAAGACTTTTATTATTGTCCCTTCGTAGCCCAGAGTCTTTGTTCTGCAGGCACTTGGAGTCTGCTCAGTGCTCCTTATATCGCAGTGGAAGCACTACCGAGAGGCATGGAGAGTCGGGCCTGCTGGAAGTCAACCTGAGAAGGCTTTGCTATAAAGCTACACGGTCCTCAAGAGCTTACCCGCTACGGTCCCTTCACTGAGAAACTCCATAAACCCTTGCTGAATGTGCTCCAGTCAATTCTTTTTTTTATTATTATTATTTTTGTGCATGTACCGTCAAATCAGATCTGACAGGTTGTTGTTGTTGTTATGTGCCGGCGAGTCGTTTGCGACTCATAGCGACCATATGTACAACAGCCCTAAACCCTGTTCTATCCTGTGCCAGTCTCACTGCCTCTGACACACCCATCCCGATTACCCCAGTCACTGAATCAGTCCACCTCATAGAGGGTCTTCCCCTCCTGCGCTGTCCCTCCACTCTACCCAGCATGACGTTCCTCTCTAAAGACCTGTCTCTCCTTACAACATGCCCAAAGTATGTCAGGCGAAGCCACAGAATCCTTGCCTCCAAGGAGCAGCCTGGTTTAACCCTCTCTACGATGAATCTGTTTGTTTTCTTGGCAGTCCATGGTACATTCAATACTCTTCTCCAGCACCACAGCTCAAAGGCGCCAATTCTCCTTCTATCCTCCCTAGTCATTGTCCAACTCTCTGATGCATAACAAGTGATTGCAAAACCCATGGCCTGTATCAGGCGCACCTTAGTCTCCAGAGAGACACCGTTGCTCTTGAGTACTTTAGATCTGACAGGTACAGGAGGAAATTGTCCCTCCTTCTCCGGCAGAGCATCTGGTGGATTTGAACCATGTACCTCTGGGATTGCAGTACAGCTTCTTGCCACTAGGCCACCAGAGCTCCCCTTCCAGTCAATTCTTAATTCATAGGGGTTCTCATGTGATGGAACTGACTTCTCAGGGTTTTCTAGGCTGTGGCCCAGTCCTTGGAGAGGGACATCATGCTTGGATGGATGGATGGGGGGGTGGAGGTTGTCAGCACAGGAGAGAAAGACCCTGGGCGAGATAGATTGACACGGTGACTGGCAATGGGATCAGGTGGGTGAGAGGTGATGAGATGGGATCAGAATTCAGAGCTATTTCATAGGAATCGCTGAGTCAGTTAGCTCCACAACACATACCAACAATCTGTGTGAGGAGCCCTGTTGGTCCAGGGGATAAGTGCCCCACTGCCGATTGCTGTCCGGCCGGGAACCAACCATAACCAAACCAGCTGATGCCCCAGCTGGGTTCCGGGAGGCTGTAAACCACAAGGAAGTGGCCCATCTTCCTCCTGTGGAGCCAATGGCAGATTTGAACTCCTAGAGAGCTCATGACTCACTAGTTTTGGATTAACAGCACAACTCCCTACAGACTACAGAGCAGAGTGCAAATCATAATCCACTCCATGGCAAGATGTTTGGCTGTAAGCTGCTAAGTGCCAACTTTTTGATGAGGACCGGAGCCCTGCCACCAGATAATGCCCATAAACCTTCACTAACCCTGAAACCGTGGACTTGAGTCCCTTCTTAACTCGACACCTGGCCTGACCAACTTGTTTCCAGTACATTAGAGGCCAAGTTCGAATTTAATCTGCTTCTACTAGAGGCTCAGGTACCCTGGCAAGCTGCAAGGATGTTGCAAAGCCTTACAGTAATGTCCAGAGGAAGGGGCTGGTTTCAGTAAGAGGTACTGACATAATCCACTCCAGTTTCCTTCTCTGAAACTCAGAGCCTTTGTGAAAAGACTGTTCCTTCTTTGCCTCCTCTACTTCCTGCAAATCAACTGAATTCTTTACTTTGTGGTCTTTGTAGTATAAGCTTGTTGCCCCAGACAGAGGTACTTGATTCTGTGCCCTTTAGAAAGCTCTATTCTGTTTAAACACATTTAAAAACTTTTTTATATCGACTCTGTTACAAATACATTGTGCTTGAGACTGATCGACATTTTATTAGCTAGGGTCATGTTGACAATGGATTGCCTCATTAAGGAAGGACACTCCCAATAACCCTGGAGGTGAGAGGGTAGAGGGAAAGGAAAACTGGTAAGGTTTTAAAATAACACATACTGTTCTTATTTTCTTTAGTTCAGCATCAGAAGCCATATTGTCAGTCTATAAAGGTGAGAGAGAAACTGTCATTTCCCAAAGAGGACAAGTCAACTACATAGCCATGTGGGCACTGGAAGATTAAAAAATCCAGCAGACAAATGTTGAAGGGTATTGGCTTTGATTTTATTATTCTGCTCAAGCAGTTGATTTCTATGTCGTCCAAAAAAAATTATATTGTGGCCCCAGACTTCCTCTTCTGTCTTCACAAAGAAGAATCACTCTGTGTATCCATTTGGGGCTGAGTCCTGGGGGGTGGGAGTCAGACACCCCTCCTCGCTCCAATCACTAGTTCTGGCATCAGCACCCTCCCTTCCTGTTGCACTCTCCACTTCTCTGCTGGGTTCTAGGATTCCTTTCAATGGCCACACAGAACTCACAGACAATGCCCACAGTTTTTTAGAGAATTAACAAGTTACAGATCAGGATTGGGATCAACAGGCTACAAATTCTGGATCAGGATTAGGAGGCATGTAGACAAAGCTGTCCTTTTTCTTTTTTTTAATTTTTTTATTATTATTTTATGTGTGTGTGTGTGTGTGTGTGTGTGTGTGTGTGTGTACCGTCAAATCAGATCTGACTGGTACAGGAGGAGATTGTCCCTCCTTTCCCGGCAGAGCATCTGGTGGATTTGAACCGTGCACCTCTGGGAAAAGCTGTCCTTTTTCAATGCAACTCCTCTCTGTGCCCTTAGCAGTACAGCTCCAGTTAGAGACCTGTGCCTTCCACAAACTCCGTACTTTAGAATTTAGACTCTGACATGGTAAAGAGGTCCTCACTATATTCTGGGATTGACTTTCTTTTTTATTGTGATTTGAATGAAAGTTTATGAAGCAAATTTATTTTCATTCAACCACTCATTTACATTTTTGTTTCATCTCAAGCCCTACAATGTAATTGCACTTTCCTCACTTCCTTTTTGTAATTCTCTTTTCTAGTAATCCTTCTAGCTGCTTCAGGGCTTTGTTGTTGTTGTTGTTATGTGAGAACTGACCTCTAGCTGACCCTCCAGGAGGTTTGCAGAGACAGTGGCACTGAAGGAGCAGCTGATGGATTCAAACTGCATGCCTCAGGACTGCAGCACAGCTTCTTACTGCTAGGCCACCACCAGAGTTCCTTCAGGGCTTCGGCCTTAGGCAAATGCGACTCTTTCCACCTTGTACTAATTAATCTAGTTGTCATGGAGTTGAAACTGCCTCATAGCTGGCCCTCCAGTGAGTTTTCAGAGGTTGTAAATTCCATGGTAGGAGATTGCTCAGCAGCAGAGCAGCTGTGGATTTGAACCACCAGAGAGGTCCTGCCTTTGGACTAGCATCATAGCTCCCTGCAGACTCCACCAGAACGTTCTGATCTTGTGTTGTTGATATTGTTCAGTGTCATCAAGTCAACCATGACTCATAGTGACCTTATGAACCGTAGGTCTGAACCTTACCGCGGCACTGCCACCGTCATCATCTCTGAGACACTTGAGCCTATTGTAACAGGCACTCTATCAACCCATCTTGTTGAGGGTCTTCCTCGTTCTCTCTCTACCCTTTCTAGAATGATGTCTTTTCCCAAGGAGGGCTCCTCCTGGCAGCATGCCCATATGAGATGAAGTCTCACCGTCCTTACTGCCCAGAAGCACCCTGGTTGTACCTCCTCCAAGAGGAACACTGACCACACCCACAACAGCATAGCCATCTTGAAGGGCTTCCTACGTAGGGTGGGACCCAGGGGACCGAGGACAACAGCAACAGCAGCAGTAGTAGTAGTCACAGCAGCTGAAAATGAACTGAAACATCGAACAGGAAGAGCAAGACATCACTTTATAGGCTTGTCTATTGTTTGGCTGAAATGTGAGCCAAAGGTGGTGAGATTTGTTTAAGGTTCAAAGGGATGAAGGGCTATAATCTCGAGCGTTCTGCCGAGACTCCATTGGACCACTAAGCCTGGACATTTTTATTTTTTGAGTTTTGCTCCATATTTCCTCTCACTCTATCCAAGACTGGACAATGAACAAGGAAGACCAAAGAATAGATGTCTTTGAATAGCAGTATTGGTTAGGAATATTGCATAAACCAAGGCACCAAGCTTTGGGGAAAACATCATGCTGGGGAAAATGGAGGGTCAGGAAAAGATAATAAGACCCTCAACAGGATATATTGACACGGTGACAGCAACA